TGAGTGGCAGAGGTTTTTTTTGACACCTCAGTCTCTTTATGATGCCAATACTTGGCATGAGTCCCTGCCTTGGTTGCATTCTGGGGTCATGCACAGGAGAGAGGGAACGTGTTCCACTGGACTGAAAGTCTAGTTGGTGATGGGTGCTCCCAGGCTAGAGCATCCCAACAGAGAGCCTGTAGCAAATGGCTATGCAAGGTAGGAATCAAAGGCGGGAGACAGAAAAGGCCTCTGTGGGAGTCATCAAACGTCGTGCTGGGAAAGGTTGCCTCTGATCAGAAACAAGATGTGCAAACTTGGTTTGTACTGATTCCAAAGCTGTCAACAGCAATGAGGCAGTGGGAAAAAGCCTGAGAAATCCGCCTTTGGCTTGCGGACCTGGACGGAGAGGGATGTTGGAAGCCTTAGCAGATTATTGCAGAGGACATCAGTAATGTGAAGAAACTGATGGGCCACTAGGGGCAGGGGTGGGAAGATATCTGGAGAAACTGTCACTGCTAGAGCGTGGTGGAGGCTGCTTCAAGCCCTGGTATGGAATCTAGTGTGTAGGGTGGGCCACCAAAACCTGGGGAAGTAGGCACCCCCAGCAAGGTGGCACACTCCTACTGCTAGTTTACAGTAATTACTCCTGCAGAACAATTCTAAATTCATGAAGGTATTGCTCATTATGTTTAGAATTTGTAATCACTAGCCATCCCTCCCAATGGATTCCATTTAATGGAATCACAGGGGAAGGCATGAATTGCTTGAGAGTATCAGTTCTGAAATGAGCAGCAAGTACACTGGAAAGGTCACAGTTGTCCACTTAAAACAGAGGCTGTGAACAAGGGCCTCAGAGATACTGGTATCGTGGTGAAGGAGAATTAATGACAACATAACAGAAAGTGATAAGAAAAAGGTCAAAATGTGTCAGTAGGTGTGCCCTCTAAGACTTATACGTAGGGTGGCAAACAGAATTATCTAAACTATTTAAGGTAAAGTTTGGCGGATCTCTTGCTGTTGGATTCTGATCTCCTTCAGTAGCCTGGTGGCATAGTGGAGAGGGTTCATTGTGGAGGATTGGGCTTTAGTACCCTGAATAAAATCAAAAAAGGAATAAGGTATTCAAATGTAACTTCAGACCTCCATGATACTGTGCATCAGAGGGAAAAATATGAAAGCTTATTGATGAGAGTTTTGTACTGCGAAGTTAAATACAGTTAAATACTACCTGTAATACAGGTAGTATTAGTACATTTATAGTATGACTTTATTACCTGATGTAATAAGCCTTATGAGTCATGTACTTTTTCCAAGTTCTGTTTGCACAACAAAGTTTGGGCTGTATTTGAGATGTAGTGGCCAACTAAAGCAGGCACCATTGATGCCCTATCTAATATCCCCTAGTCTCACCTCTGAGTTCACCTGCAGCTGTGGTAAAGAGCTTCCAGCGTGATTGCAGCTCCCCATTCCAAGTGCCTGCTTCTCTGCCTGAGAGCTGTCTGAAGCATCAGGGGAATTTGCTGAGCCACACACAGGAGCAACTCAAAGGATAAGACAGTTAATGTTCCAGAAACAGGGTTTCCCTGGTGGCGCAGTGGTTAAGAATCCACCTGCCAATGCAGGGGACACGGGTTCAATCCCTGGTCCAGGAAGAGGAACTAAGCCCATGAGCCACAACTACTGAGCCCACGTGCCACGGCTACTGAAGCCCTTGCACCTAGAGGCCATGCTCTGCAACAAGAGAAGCCAATGCAGTGAGAAGCCCGTGCACTGCAACAAAGAGTAGCTCCCGCTCGCTGCAACTAGAGAAAGCTCACATGCAGCAACAAAGACCCAACACAGCCAAAAATAAATAAACAAACATTTGAAGAAAAAAAAAGTTCCAGAAACAATTCCTGATGGTTGGGGAAGGGAGAATGCTGGATTACTGCCCCAGCCTCCCAGCCTGCAGTGGTACAATTCTGAGATGCCCTCCACACAGTTTCTCAGAGAGTAATCACAACAGTTAAGCCCTGGGACTTCCCTGGTGGCACAGTGGATAAGACTCCGTACTCCCAGTGCAGGGGGCCCCAGGTTCGATCCCTGGTCAGGGAACAAGATCCCACGTGCATGCCACAACTAAGAGTTTGCATGCCACAACTAAGGAGCCTGCACGCCACAACTAAGGAGCCCATGTGCCACAACTAAGGAGCCCGCCTGCTGCAAGTAACACCCTGTGCAACCAAATAAATTATAAAAAGAACAATTGAGCCCTAATCCCGCACTGTGCTAATCTGCTCATTAATGCACTGTTCCTTAGCCTTTCCACCTCCCCTGTCTCATTTTCCCCACACCCACATGTGCTTCCTGGGATCACCTGGACCCAAGTCCCTGTATGAGGGTCTGTATTAGTCAGCTTTCTCCTGAGAAACAGAACCAGTAGGATAGACAGATCAATCTATTTCTCTATATCCATATGTATAACTCCACGTCTATAGCTATATACCTATATCTGCATCCACATCTATGTATCTATATAGAAAGATTATAAGGAAATGGCTCACGTGATTATGGAGGCTAGCAAGTCTAAAATCTGCAGAGCAAATGTTGCAGTTCAAGGACAAAAGCAGGCAGGCTGCTACCGGCCCAGGAAGAGTCAATACGGCAGTGCAATGGCTGTCGGGCAGGAGAATTCTCTATTACTCAGGGGAAAGTCAGCGTTTTGTTATATTCAGGACTTCAGCTGAATGGATGAGGCCCACCCACATTATAGAGGGCAATCTGCTTTACTCAGTCTACTAGTTTATATGTTAATTTTATCCCAAAATACCCTCACAAAATACTCAGGATAACATTTAACCAAATATCTGGGCATCCCGTGGTCCAGTCTAGTTGACACACAAAATTAACCATTACAGGGTCCGATTTGGGGGCAATCCAAACCAAGGCACCAAGCATAGCTCATCAATTTGGAGAAGCACCCCTTGTAATGAGAGTAGAAACCTCTAAGGAGAGCGTTTTACGTGGACCATACACCTCAGGAACCATACGCGCACTCTCTGACCCCTTGTCCACGTTCCAACACATAGGCTCTGGCCCACATTAAGGAGGCATTTTGGCCAGAAGGGAAAAGCAGACCTGGTGTTGCTGTCCATGAATTTGAGACAGAAAGACTCCTGGTCCAGGATGGAATGAAAGCTTTGCTGTGTGGACTCTGCCTGACATTTGCCCTAATATTCAGTTACATTTTGTCCCTCTCTGGACCAGGCACTTAGTCCCACTAATAGGGAGGTCCACCGATTGCTTACACCACCTACCTGCACCATCTTGCGTTGCTCCTGGTTGAGCCCAAAGCAAGCGCCAGTAGCTTAACCGGCCCCCATTGGTGTTGCTGTCCGTGGTTCTGATAGAAGGAGCAAGCCTCTGCGCTGACACCTGTTTTGCTGTCCATGGTGCTGCCTAATACTTTTTTTTTAAATAAATTTATTTTATTTATTTTTGGCTACGTTGGGTCTTCATTGCTGTGCACGGGCTTTCTCTAGTTGCGGTGAGTGGGGGCTACTCTTCACTGTGGTGCGCCTGATTCTCATTACAGTGGCTTCTCTTGCTGCAGAGCATGGGCTCTAGGTGTGTGGGCTTCAGTAGTTGTGGCACCCAGGCTCAGTAGTTGTGGCTCACGGGCTCTACAGAGCAGACTCAGTAGTTGTGGCGCACAGGCTTTGTTGTTTCATGGCAATGTGGGATCTTCCCAGACCAGGGCTCGAACCCATGTCCCCTGCAGTGGCAGGCGGATTCTTAACCACTGCGCCACCAGGGAAGTCCAGTGATTCTTTTTTTATGCTCAGGAAGATGCTGCATATTGAAAGAGCAGGTTTTTGAAACGTAGACTAGAATTCAATGACAAACATGAGATTTTGGCTCTTGCTGATGTGTGTTATAGGATTTAGTGCTCTGGTGTATGTGTCCCCATTCAAACTGAAGAATCAATATTTTCTTGCTGCCCCATATTCCCAGAACAGGTTCTAGGATTTAGCACAGTTGATGGAAAAGAGCAGAGCTAAATAGAGAGCAACCAGGGCTGAAGGTTGCAGGCTATTAACCACATCAGGGGAGTCACTATCCTTTGGAAACCCCTGGCTTGGAATTTTCCTCTTTTTGGCTTCCTATGTCCAACCTCGCATAAACTCTTGTGGATTCTATCTTCTAAGTAGCTCTTAGATTAGGCTACTTCACCTCACCTCTGCCAACACTTCCGACAATGATGATCATCACCACTACTACCATCACTACCTTCACTCTTCTAATTACCATTATTTCTGGCTGGGATCATCCCTTTAGGATAAAAATTTCAAAGTGGAATAACTAAGTGGAAGTATAGGTACGTTGTTTAAGGGTTTGATAGAATATCTGTACCAAGGTGCATTTCCACCAACCTTGTAAAAGAGGACCAGAGACACTTTCAGGTGGCAAAAGAGCTATCAGCAATACATTTCAATTAAAGATTGACCAAAAGAAATACATTAAAAAACTAAACAGGGTGTTCCCTGGTGGTCTAGCGGTTAGAATTCGGCACTTTCACTGGCGTGACCTGGGTTCAATCCCTGGCGGGGAAACTGAGATCCTGCAAGCCAAAATTAATCAATCCATCAATCAATTAAGTAAGTAAAAAACATAAAGAAAAAAGCTAATGCTTACAGAGCACTTAGCATGAACCATGGCTGGGCAAGTGTATGTGGTGCTTTAAAACAAACCTTTGTGGTACGTTCTGTTTTCAGATGGAATAATGAGACACAGGTCAAGAAGCTTGCCCAAGTTCAGACAAGACCCTCGGAGAAGGTCAGGTAAGCTTTCTGAGACCACACAGCAAGCGAGCGGCGCAGCAAGTACTGAAAGCGATGTTTGTCTCCCCCTCTCCTGCCAAGAACTGCCAGGGGTCCCTGAGAAAGCAGAAGATGGGGAAGAGGGAAGGGAGAAGGCTGCGTCTGCGCGCGTGCTGGGAAGCGGGGGCTTCCGGAGCTGCAGGGTCGCCATAGCGGGTATGATGCAATCACGCCCGTCGCTGCGTCAAAGGGCGGCTCCCGGGATGCGGGGACTGCAGTAGAGCTGGTCCCCACCGCCGCCCACCTCGCCCCTGCTGCCCGCCGCGGCTAACCCGGCAGGCAACCGCTGCCGCTAACCTTCGTCCAGAGTCAGGACCACCGCCCCCGAGCCACCAGCCACCCCGACAACATCTCTCAGCCACCGGCGACCCTGACAACCGCCCCCAGGTACCGGCGGTCCCTGACAACCTCTCCGAGCCACCAGTAACCACCGACAACCGCCGTCAGCCCCCGCCCCCCCCTCCCCCCCCGGCGCGCGCCATGAAGTCGGCGGTGAGCGCGCGCGGTGGGGTGTCTGGCGGCCGCGGAGGTGGCTGCTGGGGTGGGGGGCGAGGAGGCGGAGGAGGAGGCGGGGGCAAAGGAGGAGGCGGGGGCAAAGGACCGGGAGGCGATGGCGGCGGCCAGGGGGGCAAGGGCGGCTTCGGAGCGCGGACGCGTGGCTTCGGAGGCGGCAGGGGCCGGGGGCGCGGTGGCGGAGACAGCAGGGATCGCGGAGGCGGCGGGCAGCGGCGTGGCGTGGCCAAGAGCAAGAACCGCCGGAGGAAGGGCGTCACCACGGTATCCGTGGAACCGCACCGGCACGAGGGGGTCTTTATCTACCGCGGGGCGGAGGACGCTCTGGTCACACTGAACATGGTGCCCGGCCAGTCGGTGTACGGCGAGCGGCGGGTCACGGTGACCGAGGGCGGCGTGAAACAGGAGTACCGCACGTGGAACCCCTTCCGCTCCAAGCTGGCCGCGGCCATACTGGGCGGGGTCGACCAGATTCACATCAAGCCCAAGTCCAAAGTGCTCTACCTGGGTGCCGCCTCGGGGACCACCGTCTCCCACGTCTCCGACATCATCGGCCCTGATGGCCTAGTCTACGCGGTCGAGTTCTCCCACCGCGCCGGCCGCGATCTGGTCAACGTGGCCAAGAAGAGAACCAACATCATCCCAGTCCTCGAAGACGCCCGGCACCCCCTCAAGTACCGCATGCTCATCGGGATGGTGGACGTGATCTTTGCCGATGTGGCCCAGCCAGACCAGTCCCGCATCGTGGCTCTGAATGCCCACACCTTCCTGCGCAACGGGGGCCACTTCCTCATTTCCATCAAGGCCAATTGCATCGACTCCACCGCCTCTGCTGAGGCGGTGTTTGCTTCTGAGGTGAGGAAGTTGCAGCAGGAGAATCTGAAGCCTCAAGAGCAGCTGACCCTGGAGCCCTATGAGAGGGACCACGCTGTGGTCGTCGGGGTCTATCGGCCCCTTCCCAAGAGTGCCAACAAGTAGCAACCCAGCTCGGGCTGTCCCTGAGATAATGCCTAAGACTGTGCTGTGTTCAGTGTTACTATATGTGTGTTTTCTTTGTGCACCGCTTTTCTATTAAATGGCATAAAGAAACAGTACCCAGGTGTATCAGTGAGGCCAGACTCAGTTATCCCCAAATCTCCAAATCCCCCAAACTCTAAAAAGCCAAGATAAAAGGTGATAGGGGTCCATAAAGGATCAGCCTGGGGACTGTGCTTACTCCAATCACTCAGGGTCCTGACTCTTCGGGGCCCCTCTTCACTCGTCACAGGGGCAGGGGAAGAGAGCTGGGAAAATAATGAGCTTATAAAATCCCCTTTGGAACTGAGGGGACACTTCTTGCACGTTGACCATGTCACGTGACCAAGCCTGACTCCAGGGAGTAGCATTGGATATTGATGGACAGTCGTATAGTCTAACACACCCAATCTGTCTGACTCCAAGCCAGAGTCCTAACCATAATATGTAGTTAGTACTTTACTCTTCAAGGAAGCCCTTTTGCATTCCCTAGTATGTGTAGTCAGCACACCAGCCCCAAGCTGGCTTTGTTACCATTACCCTCTTATGGGGGAAGCCACAGAGCTTCTGAAGGTAAACTGGTTGCACAGCCAGGAGGGAGGTAGAACGTAACTGCCAGTCTTTGCGCCTCTAAATTCACTGCCATTTCCTGTACACTAATGGGATCTTACCTCTCCCCGACATGGCCCACGCTAAACAGACCACAAGTCCTAACACAAGGACACACACACAGAGCAGGGCCCTCTGGCTTCTCTGTGTCCTTTCTCTGCCTCCCTGTGCCACCCTTTTCTTAGATTTCAAAATAACAAAACAAGGCAGGGAGGATGTGAGTCCACCTCAAAAAGTATTCCCAGGGCTTCCCTGGTGGCGCAGTGGTTGAGAGTCCTCCTGCCGATGCAGGGGACACGGGTTCGTGCCCCGGTCCGGGAAGGTCCCACATGCCGCGGAGCAGCTAGGCCCGTGAGCCATGGCCGCTGAGCCTGCGCGTCCGGAGCCTGTGCTCCGCAACGGGAGAGGCCACAACAGTGAGAGGCCCGCGTACCGCCAAAAAAAAAGTATTCCCACCACAAGGCATAACGCACCCAAAGTGGCATCACCAAGTGTCTCAGAAATAACCAGGAAAATGACTCCCAGAAAGTATCTGTCTCTGAACGGCACTTTCTGCAGGCCCTGAATCCCAGTCCATTCAATTCTGGCTCTCAAAAGCAGTCCAAAGGGAGCAGGAGAGAGAACAATCCCAGGAGAGCTGGCAATGTTCCAAAACCAAGACTCAAAAAGGCCTTTCATTTATTCATTCACTTATCCACTCAGGAAATCCCCAATGCCAATTGCCAACGTCATCGACATTGCATCCAGGAATGACTGCTCCCTAATCCGTCATTTGGAGAGTGGGTCTACCTTTCTGAAGATGTGCTTGGATAGAGGTTATGGTTAGTTTGCGTTTTCTGAGGGCATACTTCCTTCATACAATAAGAAGATAAATCAGATTTCTAAAGGGCAGCCACCCCTTCTACTCCTCGCCACCCCTTCTACTCCTCCCCTCCCCTTCCCATAATGCACACACAAAAGCTATTCCATACAATGCAGGGGGAGAGCTACAGTTCAGATTTGCTGGCCAGACTGACTCAGGAAGAAGAGGGTGAACGGAGTAAATGTCTGCAAAATCCCAAACCAGGCATTTCCACAAACTATGTGAGATCTTCATTAAAACCCTGCAAAGCGAGGATCATTATTCCTATATAACAGAGGAGGAAACTGCAGTTCGGAGAGATGACATGACTTGCTTAAGATCCCCCAGTAAGTCTCACAGCCAGAAACCAAACCCACAGGAGTCTGACTCCAAAATCTATGGCCTTTCCACTGAGGTCTGTGCTGGCTCCCTTACTTTGAAAAGCCCTCTCTCCAGTCCTAGGCTAATTGATTCATTGCTGGGATGAAACCCTGAGGCTGGGAATGGACTCCCAGGAAACAGGATGATTCCTTCTGGAATCTTAAAGGGTCTAGTCCTTCCTCAGAGGCAGCTCAGTCTCAATAAGGAGCTCTTGGAGCCTCCTTACAAGGTGTCTGTCCCTCCAGATCTGGGACATGGCAGGGGAAACTTGGCCTCTTTCCTTGCTGTGAGCATTCCCACATACACACAGAGAAAATTTATAGTCCACGTTTGAAGCTGCTTGAAGTGGGAACGTCAATGGAGACATGGCATGAAAAAAACCTCTTGAAGAATGTCTCTGAGCTGCAGACGGGTTCCTGGGCCAATGGAACAACATGGCAAGTCCCAGGAGAAACATAGGTATAAGGACTAAGGGAATATAGGAAGGAAGCTGAAACCTGGTTTTGGAGGATGGGGGCAGGGGAAGTATGGGACTGTAATTCCAGTGGGCAGTGAGGTTCAGGACATACGTAGCAGTGACACTGGGCACCTGACCTGCTTGGGTTCCCAGAGGCATCAAATTGGGGTCCCTAGGCATCTTAGACTGCTGCGGCTACCCTAACAAAATACCAGTCTGCATGCCTTAGGCAATAGACATTTACCTTCTCACAGTCCTGGAGCCTGGAAGTCCAGGGTCAAGGTACCAGCAGGGTTGGTTTCTGGTGAAGCCTCTCTCCTTGGCTTGTCAATGGCTGCTTTCTCCCTGGGTCCACACATGGCCTTTTCTCTGCGTGCACAAGGAGAGAGAGACTGAGAGAGAGAGAGGGGAGGAGAGAGAGATCGCTGGTCTCTTCCTCTTCTTAGAAGCACTCCAGCCCTCTCAAATTACAGCCCCACCCTTATGACCTCCCGGAACCTTAATTACCTCCTTAAAGGCCCTACCTCCAAATACAGTCATATTTGAGAGTTAGAGCTTCAACATTTTGGTTTGGGGGAATACAATTCAGCCCAAAACACTAGGGCTGGATGGGAGCTTTCAGCTAAAATGCCCATCTTGCTGGCTTTTGGAAAGTGACTGGGGAAAGCAATGTGCAACTGAAGTTCCTGCGCAAAGCTCTGAGTGTTATCCCTTTCTCCCAACTTTCCTCTTATTGTCAGTGTAAAATACCCGAGAATTAACAGTTAACATAGAGGCCGTGGGTTGGAGCGGGTGGTGGGTGGGGTGAGGAGTGATGGGGAGGGAACTTAGTTGAGCTTCTAAGAGGATTGGTTCAACCTGGGAATTGGTTCAGCTGGGTGGAATTTGCTGCTGAGTTTCAGAGAATCAGCAGCCTGACAAGAGCCACGGTTGAGCCCAGCCCAGCAGGTGCAGTGAGGCTGGAGGCTGATGCTCAAAGACAGGGTGAGAGGGACCCTGACTCAAAGAGTCAGCAGGAACCAGTGGGAAGAACACACAAACCCCACCTACTGCCTACCCTCACCCTCACCGTGATGTCCCTCAGCCTCCTCCACCCCGATGCCCCTTGGGATAAGGGGAGGAAGAACGGGGAGGGAAAAGAAAACAAAAGGGACTGTTTTAAACTGGAAGAAACCCAACTTCTTTTCAACTGGCAGTTTCCCTCCCGGCTGCAGTCCTGCTACCAAGCAAGATGCTTTAACCACATCGGAGCCGCAGTGAGTATGTTTGGACTCTGCAAGACTTGTATTTGTCAAGCACTTATGATGTCCCAGGCATAGAGATAAGCATTTATTTGATTGCAAAAAGTGTTGTTTTTAAATTAATAACGGGAACAAACATAGCAGAAGATACTGAAACGTAAATGTTCAGGTTAACATTTGCTGTAAAATGCACACCGGCGTCAGAGCTGCTGGAAATGTCTGTGTGGCCTGGAGCGAGAGAGCACGTGAGACCCCTGGCCAGTGCCCTGCCCCTTTCTCTTCCCACCCCTGGTTCTGCCCCACCTCCTGAAGGGGCTCACACGCATGTCTGTAGACTCCCAGTCCTAAAATCCAAGATCCGACCCCCTGCTCTTCAAACAGCCTCCTTTAAGCCCCTTGGGACTGGAGTTGTAAACTGGGAGTGTGGTCCCTTCTTGGGAGGACTGGCCTGGGGAAGACTGATGGAAGCGGACTTGGGCTGTTCAGGCTGGGCGCCCGGTGCCCAGTGCAGGATCTAGAAGGTGGTGGCGTGGGCTCGTGGGGGCACGGCCCTCGGCCCATATGGACTCCTTGCCCCATGGGGCAAGGTGCAGGCAGAGGAAGGCCAGAGCGCAGCCCTGTAGGTGCGGGGCCCAGGGCAGGGGCCCTGGCTGACCAGGTCTGAGAGTGGCCCCTTGGCCCATCCACTCAACCAAATCTCAGTGTTCCTCCTTAAGGAGGCCAGTCTAACTCTTCCAAGTAGTCTTCCTGGCTCTTGGGCTCACAGGAAATTCCTCTTGATTCACGTTCTGAGGGAGACAACATTTACCGTGCACGTAGTCTGTTCCAGGTGCCTCCAGACACCTTGTTTCACTTAATTCCCATAACACCCCCTGGGAGGCAAGTGTTATCCTCCCTGATATCGCAGATGAGGAAATTGAGGCTCAGGAAAGTGACAGGAATCACCCAAGGTGTGATGGAGCTGGAGAATGGAAGATCTGGGGTGTCCTGGAGCAGAACTGTACGTATTCATTCTCTAAATTGGTGAAATTTAAAACCAGACGCTCTAGGGGGAAGGCCTGGCATTGGTGTTTTTGGTAAGTCCCCCAGGTGATTCTAATGTGCATCCAGGGCTGACACCACTATTTAAAACCCCATACCACTCTTGCTGTTGATTGGGAAAGGCAGATTTAGGACAGTACTTTGAATAACTGGAAGATGACAGCTGAGCTTTTCTGCAGGGTCTTTGGGACAGCCCAGGATGCCCCCTGAGATTCCTAAGAGAAGGAGGGTTGAAGTCTGTGACTGAAGACAAAGTTACTGGTATTCCTGCCTCTTTGGTCCCTGATTGAGTGCTGCCCACGGATCTTGTTTGTAAGGAGCTCAGCTGAGCTGGGGGAGAGAGCTGAGCTGCCAGGTGTGGGAGGAGCTCAAGATTGAAGGAGCCGAAAATGAGAGTTCAGTCTTTAATCATTTACTGTGATGGAATAAGCAAAAGGCTAAAACTGGAGAAAGCGCCAACTCCCCTGTTCCATATTCTCACATGGAAAGGCGCCCCAGCGAGGGTCGGGGGATCAGAGCTCCTTGGGGATGTCTTACTGCTGAAGGCACCCTTGAAAAAAAGGCTCCAACATTTTATGGACCCTGAGGCTGCTGGTGAGGGGACGAACGGGGAAGGCTGGGGGTGGAAAAGTCTTCAAGGTTCTCCCCTCCCCCACAAGGAGGCAGAGGTCCTCAGATCAAAACCTATGGAGGACTTCCCTGGTGGTCCAGTGGTAAGACTCTGTGCTTCCCCTGCCGGGGGCACGGGTTTCCCTGGTTGGGGAACTAAGATCCTGCATGCCGCACACAGCCAAACACACACACACACACACACACACACACACACACACACACACACACACAAAACAAACCTGTGGAATGAAGGTGACGGGTAGGAATGTAAATTTACCTGCCGAGAGCCCTGAGTCCTTGACCGCAAGCCCCTTCAGAAATCGAAGTGCGCCGTCTGTGCCCCAGGTCTGGTGTGGAGGGCAGCTTCTCCTAGTCCCACCAGCTGTGCCTCTTGAAGCCTTCCTAATCGCCTGTGGTCAGGCCTGAGAAATCAGTCACACATGATTTTTTTTTTAGAGAGCCTTTTTTCTCTTTTTTAAAATTTATTTATTGGCTGCGTTGGGTCTTTGTTGCTGCATGCGGGCTTTCTCTAGTTGGCGGCGAGCGGGGGCTACTCTTTGCTGCAGAGCACGGGCTCTAGGCACCCGGGCTTCAGTATTTGTGGCTCGTGGGCTCTAGAGCGCAGGCTCAGTAGTTGTGGTCCACGGGCTTAGTTGCTCCGCGGCACGTGGGATCTTCCCGGGCCAGGGCTGGAGCCTGTGTCCCCTGCATTGGCAGGCGGACGTTCCCTGCGCCACCAGGGAAGCCCCCCATGTGTTTCGTATATAAATTGTCAAATGGAAACAGCCTCCAGTACATGCTACTAACACCACTTTGCTACTTCTCCTAAGGCCACACATCCATTGGCACATGACCTACCTTCCAAGTTGTCAGGTGACTGAAGTTGCACTTCTCCATAACATGAATCCTTCCATCCTCTGATAGCACCTGCTGCCAGTCCCTAATCCAGGGCCTCATTATTTAGGTTTCTATTCTTCAGCGGCATCCATTGCTGCATCCATTGCTGGTACCAACGTCTATATCAGTTGGGATGGGTATATCAGACGGGTTAGGCGGCGGTAACAAACTCCCAAAGTCTGTGCCTAAATGAAGTTTGTTTTCTTCCTCACACTATACTACCTTCATTATTTTGTGGGTGGTTGAGGGAGAGGGGCCTCTGTTAATTTTAGTCATTTAGGGATCCAGGCTAACAGAGTAGCCACCATCTTGAATGCTGCTGGCTGTCAAGAGGGAAAAGATGGCTCCGGAAAATCTCAGGTGATGAAGTGTTCTAGCCATGACATGGTAGTTCCAACCACAACTCACTCACTAGTTGGCCAGAACCAGTCATATGAACTTTTTCAACCACGAGGGAGCCTGGAAGTACAATCCTACTGTGTTGGAAAGGTGGAATAAAGATCTCTGCTGAACATGAATGATGAACACAAGGTCATCATCACATGTGGGGTGAGAAATTTTCCTCAGGGACTTCCCTTGCAGTCCAGTGATTAGGGATCTGTACTTACACTGCAGGGGGCACAGATTCGATCCCTGGTTGGGGAACTAAGATCCTACCTGCCAAGCGGGGAAGGAAGGGAGGGAGGAAGGAAGGAAGGAAACAAATTTGCTTGAGATCATATGCCTAGTGACTAAGAGCAGAATTTGAAACCATGCTCCAGAATACTTGCTTTTAATCACTACTCTACACTGCCTCCCAAGCCATTAGCGAAGAATTTTTTTGGCCACAACACGTGGCTTGTGGGACCTTAGCTCCCTGATCAGGGGTCGAACCCGCGCCCCCTGCATTGGCAGTGCTGAGTCTTAACCACTGGACCACCAGGGAAGCCCAGCAAATAGATTTTTACGTCATTGTCATGTAACTTAATTGTTATGCTTTGAGAATGTGGCCTTATTTTTTGAAATTTATTGACTTATTCTATGATCTTGTACATGATCAACTTTTGTACATACTCCATGTGTGCTTGAGAATAATGTGCACCCTCTCATTGCTGGATGCAGAATTCAATGTATGTCCATTAGGTCAAGCTTAACCATGGTGTTCAAACCTATTTTGCTGATTTTCTGTTTGCTTGAACTATCAATACTTGAGTGAGGTGTTGAAATCTCTCACTGTGATGACAATTTCATGCCTTAAAGTTTCATCACTTGTAGATTTATTTTCTACTTATTTAGCTATTTCATTACTTGCATATATATTTTAAACTGTGATGTCTTCTTGGTTCGCTTTATGATTACATAATGACCCCATTCCTAATGATGACTTTTGTTTTCAAGTTTATTTTGCTTGTCTTAATATAGCTACGTAAGTTTTCTTTTGGTTAGTGTTTGCCTGACCTTTTTTAATCCTTCTGATTTCAAACTGTCCAGGTCCTTTTACTTTAACATCTATTACAAAAAGCATGTAGGTGTTGTTTTCCTTTTAAACCAGACAATCTCCTTTAATTGGCAAACTTAAGTCTCCTTTCTTGGATTCTCGATGCCCAAACTTGGCTCTTGGTGTGTGAAAGATCCTAGGACACCTCTAATCTGAAGTTTGCTCTTAGACTAAGAGGTTTCTTTTTTTTTTTAATTAAATTTTTTTTCCCAGCTTTATGATGATATGTTTAAGATTCAAGATAGCCTTCCTTTATTCACAGCACTGGGAAAATGTCAGACAAAAGCAGTATTATGGAAAGGAACCCAGGAAAAAAACAGAATGTTAGTAATTTAGTTTTCTTAAGTGTCTAGAATTGCTTGAACTATAAATTTCATCGTCAGAGTCAGGAGAGCGAACAGGATATGTTGACAGAAGTGTGAGTGGCTATTGTGTCCACCATTCTAGATGCCATTAGGAACATCTGTGATTCCTGGGAAGAGGTCGAAATATCAACATCAACAGGAGTTTGGAAGAAGTTGATTCCCATCTTTAGGGATGACTTTGAGGGGCTCAGGACTCCAGTGAAGGAAGTAACTGCATTAGAAGTGGAGCCTGAAGATGTGACTGAATTGCTGCAATCTCATGATAAAATGTTAATGGATGGGGAGTTGCTTCTTATGGATGAGGAGAGAGTGGTTTCTTGAGGTGGAATCTACACCTGGTGAAGATTATTCAAACAACAAAGCATTTAAAATATTACTTAAACTCAGCTGATAAAACACTGGCATGGTTTGAGAGGACTGACTCCAATTTCAAAAGAAGTTCCACTGTGGGTAAAGTGCTACCGAACAGCACTGACGCTACAGAGAAATCACTGTGAAAGGATGACTCAACTAATGCAGTAAACTTCATTGTCGTCTAATTTTAAGAAATTTCCACAGCCACCCCAGCCTTCAGGAACCACCACCCTGATCAGTCAGCAGCCATCAACATGGAGGCAAGACCTTCCACCAGCAAGAGATTACGACTCCCTGAAAGCTCCGATCATGATGGTTAGCATTTTTCAGCAAAATTTTAAAATGAAGGTATGTACATTTTTTGACATAATGATATTGCACACTTAATAGACTACAGTATGGTATAAACCTAACTCTTACATGCACTGGGAAAACAAAAAAACGCATGTAACTCGCTTTATTGCAGTGGCCTGGAACAAGCCCGAAATATCTCTGAGGTATGCCTGTAGTAGCTCTAGAAAGCCTTAAAGCTGGGAGGGATGGAGGACTGGGAAATGAAAAAAAGGGTATCTACTGTATGAGCCCACTTACAATGACAACTGTAGAAAAAATAAATTGAATCTAGTGACAGGAAGCATTGGTTGACACGGGATGGGGCTGGGAAGGGACAGCCTAGGGTGGAGGCCAAGGGAACTTTTTGGAATGATGGAAATATCTTGGAAGGGTGGTTACCTGGGTGTATAAACATATTTACTTAAATATACCATTAAATATTATTGTTCTTAAAACCATACCTCAATAAAGTTGATTACAAAAAATAAAGAGATCCAAAACCAAAAGTAAACAAAAATCAGTAGTAGCAGTTACAAATTCACTGAAATCTTTTTTTTTTTTTGAGGCATTAAACAGATGTCCTGAAAACCAGAAGAGGTGTTCTAGGAAATCTGAAAACACAAGGTATCAGGATTCTTTATTCAAATTGTTAAAATATGATACCTGAAACCAAAAGAAAACAAAAACAAAAGCCTACATAACACATATTCCTTAACTTTTTCAAGTTCAGGGCCTTGAATTTCCTGAATGGCATGTTTAATATATGATAAAAGTTGGATTTTCCCCCACCAAAGAAATTGGGGGTGGCAGACTCCAAACTCTAGCTAGAGAAAAATGAGCAAAGTGGGCTCTTCAGTCCAAAAGAACATGCCTTCATGGTTTTGATAATTTTTGTTGCTGTTTCTAGAAACTGTAAAGGTCACTTTTATAGCCCTGGCTGGAGATGTGCACTTACTTACCTAAATGTAAGTAAGTGTACTGGTGTATTGCTCACCTCTGGGAAAAGCAACATTAAATACCAATTTTTTATGTAAAGAAGGAGATGCAATCCCAGAGATGAGGAGTCAGGTTTTCCAAGTTTATTTTGGAAAACAGAAACAAAAACAAAACTGAAAAACTCTCAAAATCAGAAGCATAGGAATATCTTAAAATAGTTTATAAAGCTTTTTGCATAGGAGGAGATAAGACTTCAGGTGCAGAAACATTAACAATGTTTGTTCAATACACAATACACTCCACTGAGGAACATGTCAATAGAAAAGAGACGTCTTCCTTTCAAAATGTATACACCAGCTCTGTGTATAGAAGTCAATATAAGCCCTTTTCTTTCCCTCCTGGAATAAATTTATTTTTACTATTTTTTAAAATAGATCTTTGTTGGAGTATAATTGCTTCACAACACTGTGTTAGTTTCTGTTGTACAACAAAGTGACTCAGCCATACGTATACACATATCCCCATATCCCCTCCCTGTTACGTCTCCCTCCCACCTCCCTATCCCACCCCTCTAGGTGTTCACAAAGCCCCGAGCTGATCTCCCTGTGCTAAGCGGCTGCTTCCCACTAGCTAACTATAAATTTATTTTGAATGAAGCACTTAAACTACGCATGTAGCCTTCAATTACGGTTGACCCTTGAACAACCTGGGGAGTTTGGGGGGCCTGATCCTTCACACAGTTGAAAATCCACATATAACTTAAGAGTTGGCCCTCTGTATCCGGTTCGGTTCCTCTGCACCTGCGGATTCAACCAATCTCGGATCATGTAGTACTGCAGTATTTACTACAGAAAACAATCTGCATGTATGTGGACCCGCACAGTTCAACCCGTGTAGCTCAAGGGTCAACTGTACTTTTGCTCTTCAGTAGCTTATTTCCAATCGCTTGCAATGCACTTGGAGAGCTAAAGTATAGCTCAAATCTAATATTTCCACACCAAACTCGTAATTTTTCCCTTAGTCACTGTCTCACACTTTTCTCATCCTACTGAAAATTTTTTTTTAAAACAAACAAAGGGTATGTACCTTCACAAGTTACCTGGTCATCTTCATGTTTTCAACCATTCCTATATGCCCGGAGTCTAGACAATCAGTTTGAAAACTCAGAAGTCAATTTTCCAACTTAATTCCTCACATATTATGGAACACCATCGAAGCTTTTAGAACAACGCTAACAGACATTGTCTATTAAAAGCAAAGAAATGAAGTTTTGGTTTAGAGAAAAGCGTGTGTGACATAACCCTTAACAAACTGTGGTAAGAAAGTACCGCACATGTTCTGGCATCTCTGCTGGGAGCGCATCTAAGGGCCACTCTGCTGTCAACATCCATTTCTGGCATAGGACACCATGGCCTCGGTTCAAGGAAAAGCAAAGCTTTTCACATGTTAATAAACGTAAGGCTTAAATTTCAGGAAGGTTTGCATTGCACCTCTGCTAAACTTACATTTGTGCTTTCTAAGGCTGGGGAGAGCAAAGTGGGGAAAAACTTCAATTACATCTTATAAAGGGAGACTAGATAGATAAAGACACTTCCTCTACAGTTAATCCACCCAATAAGTATTTTTTACTGAATGCCTTCTCTGTGCCAAGTACTGGGAATACAGAGGTGAGCAAGACTTTACGATGTCCTTTCTCTCAGTTTACACGTTCTACTATAGTTGATTTCATTAAAACGTTGTATTTATTTGAAGTGGAAATGTGGGAATACAATATATAAACAATAAAAAGATAACACAGTAAACAACTTAACAGAATTTATTTGCAAAGTAGGAAATAAAAATCATGATTTTAACATTTATTTAGAATATGAACAAAACTAGAAAAAGTTAAAACTACAGAAAAGGTAGAGAGTACTGAAGTTGGCTCAGTGGCCATATAATACAAACAAGCAAAACCCAAGTTTCTTTCATGCAAATAAGCCTTAAGGAAAAGAGAACAGGAATGTTTATAGAACAGACCACAAGTATTTTAAAAATTTACATAAGAAACTGTACATAAATGAAAAATAAATTAGACAATTTACAAGAAATGTTTTATAGGTTATAATAGGCTATAACTTAGTTTATTATGAATAAAATTTGTAGCACATCATACATTTTTACATCACAGATTCAGTGTTAGAATAATTCCAACATGACAGAGCTCAGACTTGGCAAGAACAATGCAATAGATAGAATAAGGCAACTTAAACGGAAATGGCTTGTATAAGTAAAATTAACACAAACATTTTCTAGGTATGATTTGATCTGTAACTGGGAAGAATTAAGACAAATGCCACTCAATTTCAGTTAAAAAGTCAAAGCTTCACTGTAGTTCAAATAAAAAGTCAAAGCACACAATGTATTAAAAAAATGATAAAACCATCTTAACCTGACTTACATCCATGTTCCATTAATCGTATTTAGGACAAGGAGACCAGAATATTAATGTTAGGTCTATAAAGTTATCTTTTGTTTCTAAATGTAAACTAAAAAGGGCACCTCAGAAAAAAAGTGGCAGATTTCAAAATGGCTTAATACTCGTGACAACTATCAACTGTGCCAGGTATGAGATCCGTATGATTCAGAGACACAACGTAAAGCTAAAATGATCTCAAACTAGCTGCATTATTTATGTATATTTTACCAATTATACAAAACTGAAATGTTTTCTTTGAGAGCTACTGGAACTGTAGGTACTGCAATGTATGAAAGATGTTGAGAAATAGAAAAAAAAATCAGCACTATCTTAGACTTGAAATTTAGTTGCACATTTGTACAATTCAAAACCTTGGATTTTAACTTTATTCACTCCTTTGAAAAATACATTCCTCATTAGTTCTTTTAAACACAAAATTACTGGCCGCTACAGCAAAAAGACTGAAAATCTAAAAAGAGAAACTAGTCTTTTGACTACACAAAGAGCCAGAATGTAAAGATTCTGGTTTTTTTCTTAAGGAAAAAGAAAACTGATTTCCTCTCAAACACATCATTCGGTACCAACTGTAGTACCTGAAGTCCCAACATCAACTCACTGCTACATTTATTAAGCTGGAAGTATCAGACGCATGTACAATCGGATTATTCTCAGGCAATCCTAAGGATAAAGGTATTTTAGGTCTTTACCATACTTGATGTAGATGACTACAATTCATGATATTTCAACTCACTTAGAGATAATTAAAATTGTGTTTTATAAATCCCACTATGAATTGTGTTTGACAAAGGCAATAATTCTAGGAGGGGTTTATCCCACATCTATCCCAACTCACAATGATCAGAAATAAGAAACAGCTTAAAGAAAAGGGCTATTAAAAACATCCCAAATATATCTAACATTCAAACATCCATAAATTTAGTGGTATGTTTCTTTTTGTACAATGGAAAAGTTATAATGCCCATATAATTTTGAAGTTATAGCACAATAAAAATTCCAGATAGCTTTACAGATTAAAGCGCGCGCACACACACACACACACACCCTTCATATTACTTTAAGGTATATCTACTACTTGGCCATTACAGGCAATAACAAAACATTATGAGAGAATAACTAATACCATTCTATGGTAAGAATCCAAAAGCTAGTACCTCTCAACATATATCAACACAAATAAAATGAACTCTAAAACATGATGCCACATATCTGAACAAATTGTTTCTGTCACTTCAAATGCTGCCATGAATGGAGCAACTAACTATTTTGGGACAGTCTGCTTTTCATGGAACCCCTGTTTTCAATAGGCTATTAAAATACCTCAAAGGAAGAAAAATAATTACTCACTTTTTGGGGTCTTTGCTCATCAGTTACTAGGCTCAGTAGAAATATAAAGCTACGGTCTCAAATACTGAAAACAGGCAGTAATATAGATACAGAACATTACTTTCTGAGATTATCTGATGACAGAAACAAAGTTGGCTGAATTCCTTCTCTATTAGAATAAAACACCCTAAAATAAACAAGCTTATTGGGAAAACAGATCATTGACATTTCATGGCAAATCATGTTAAATAAGGTCAAAGGGTATTGTTACAAAAATGCAGTATGTTTCTAATATTTTGTTTATACATACCACAAAACAGTAAGTTAAATGCAAAATAACACATACTCATTTTTCCGGTGATCATCCAGTTTTTACATGGCTTTAGAAGAGAAAAAGTTTCTAAACTACATTCTCAAATGCAACAGACTAAAAAGCATAAAGTGCTCAATAGAGAAAAAACAAAATATTAAAATATGAAACATTTTGCATATAACAAGCAGAGTGGTTATAAAGGACATTTGGAAACTACTGCCTTGCTAAGCTTTCCACCCAAAAACGCAACCTTAGAAATCAAGGCAAGATGCCTTGATTCAAGGCAAGATGGACTGCTCTTAGAAGGCAAGAGTACCGCTGGACATAGAGGAAAACCTTTTCCCTTTGAGCTGCCTCATTTTTCTTACAGAAGTGGACTTTCAGGAACTGGTACTGAGAATACAACAATCGCATCTGCACGCAAAGGTAAAAAACTCAGGAATCTTCACAGTCTAATATTTGGCAAACAATCTGAACCTCTAGAAGGGCTGTCAAGACGCCACGTATATTACTGGCAATAGCGCTAACTTCACCTAAACGAAGAGTCCACCTATTTAAACCAGAGTAGCTGAGCAAGGAACGCCCTTGTCAATAGGCAAGGAAGTCTACTAGTACTTTGTCTTTGGAGAAGTTGGGGTGTAGAATTGAAGGCCATTAGTTCTCAAAGTCTCTCTGGTTAAAAGGCAGTCTTCTGGGGGTACGGATGGTGGTAGTGGTGGTGGAAAGTTCTAGACCTTGTGTTCTTTACCAACCGGCCCCAGCAAACTGATAGTGATCCTTGCATTTGAAAATGTTATTTTTAAAAATGAAAATTAAATCCACCAAGTTATAAACAAGATTCTCCTTGTGTGTACAGAACTCAATGAAGAATTAAAAAGGTTTCTTTTTAGTCCTTTAGAATTGGCTTCTCAAAGTTCAATTAGATAAGGTGTGTGTGTGGGGTTAAGTCTTTGGAATCATCAAATTTACTGCAGCAAAGGAAATATACATTCTGAAGACTGACGAGGATGCTCAGGATGTGTCTTGGGCAACTTTATTAGTATCATTAGAAAAACGATACCTGCTACAATGAGATGGCAGGATGCAATCAATGTAAGATGTTTTTTGGAATGGTCAGAAATACAGTTTGTCTGAATAAAATAAACTAGGCCAAATGAGGTATTTCTTATCCCTCTTTACGTATTTAAAAAATAAGGTTCTCACGTGTTCCCTCTCTAACATTCTTTAAAAAGTCCAGATTCAAATTTAAGTTTTAATGAATACATGATAGTGTTCATTTTTAAGAGCTAGTTCTAGGAACTACACTAATACAGTAACCACTACCCAAACGTGGCTACTGAGAACCTGAAATGTGGTTAAATTGAGTTGTGCTGTAAGTGTAAAATACATACTGATTTTGAAGACTAGGTAGCAACAATCCCCCAACCCAAAAAAAACCCTAAATAACTTTTTATAATGATTACATGTTGAAATGATAACACAGCTATACTGGGTTAAATAGAAATATATAATTTAAATGAATTTCACCTGTTGACTTTTTAAATATGTCTGCTAGAAAACGCAAAATTACATGTTGCTTACGTTTATTTCTATTAGACAGCACTGTTCAAGAACATAAGAGCTCTGAAGCTGACTGGGATTAGAACCAAACCTATTTACCACTCTATGCTTATTCAAGCATTTTCCTGGGATCATAATAAAAAACTAGAATCTTGGAAGCCTTCATCCCAATTCTGTGTTCTTATTAGAAATACTTATTAGAATTACTCCAGTAATTCTAGATTGTACAAGAGAAAAACCAAGAGCTTTTCTCACAGTGGTGAGATAGTTGCTCACTTTATATGCATTTTAGCAGGTAACTTCAGTTTCAAAAGACAAAAAGTATGAATCGTAGTCCCAAATTAACCAAAGTATTGATCAAATTAACTTGTATATACTTTTACCATTCCATTTCCTTCTTGACGACAGCCCCAAACCTATAACTGCTAACGTTCAGTTTGCCACAGGTATAAAATTTGAAGTTATCATTTAAAAGCAAAACCTTCTTGTACAGATGCCCAATCATGCAATTCTAAAATAAATTAAAAATATAGCTTTTGGCTGAAATATCTAGTCACGAAAATGGAAACATTTAGTAAGAAAATGTTTAAACACTGTAGGTTTTCAAAATGAC